ATTACTTTGTGCCTGCCAAGATTCCGGCCCATGGCAGGGATGGACCCCATAATTGTCAAAAAGACTTGCTGACTAATGCCAAAAAAATGTAATGAAATGTGATAAAACGGGAGGCAAACAGGGGCTAAGAATATAGGTTCATTGAGACATATTTCGATTTTAAGTCGATATGTTTGAATATGTTGAGAAGTTTTTAGCATAAATCTTTGTATCTGAACTTTAGACATATTTCTATTCTTCTTTATATTTTTGAAATAATGACCCTCAAGGTGAATTCCAAGAAAATTGCAGTTGCTTGCAAGCCGAATCCTTCTCTACAAGTACACATGAAGTATACATTCATTCTCCACTAGAAAAGACTCTAAATCATAATTATCAAACTCGACTTATACAAGATCTTTCAAGTTAATTTGGGCAACGGTTAAATTTTGTTAGTTACAAAATATTTTGAAACGTAATATTTTCAATAAATGTAGCCTAACTCTAGAACCAAATGTGATTTTAAGAATTTATTTAGGGGTATTCTAGCAAGTCTGGAAGAAAATGAGATGTAATTCTATTTCAAGTTGTTTAGATTTTGACATAATATATTTATTTATTGATAAATCTCTAGTAGAGTACATTAGATAGTATTTAAATATAATAAAAAAGAAGAAACCAAAAAATCTTATCAAAATCCACCATTCGTTGAAATGCATTACCATATATCAAATGTACGTAGGTCGATGAATCATATCTAGCCCCTATTTCTTTTTGTCAAAAAATTGAATTTTAGTGCATTCTGATAAAAGATAATGAAATGTGTAATTAAAAAGTTATTGGTCCAATGAATGTATGTTTGAAAATGAGTTTTGGGGATACATCATCCGAAGCCAATACATTATCGAATTAAGAGATAGTCATGAAAGAAATGATGAGGATTTTAGTACAGTTGGCAATTGGGGGATGGGTGATAAGAAGACACTCAAAAAGAGTTAACCCCTATTTAGTAGGGATTTAAATATATATTTTAATCTAAATTAAAGCTAGCAATTAATTTTAAAACTCACAATTTTCCAATCATATGGGTCATCGAATTTTATCAAAGTCTACTAAAAATTTAATTTTAATTCATACAGAAAAGGCTTTAAAAAAGCCGTGAGGGTCCTCAATCCTTTATGATCATGCACGTTCCTTTGTTCCATATATACCCTTATCTTGTCATATCACACTGGCCCATATATTTAATGAACATTTTTAATGTGGTTCCTTTGTTTCATTTTGCACCATAAACACACAAAGACTTGATAAAACCCTCTGGTTTATGATGAAAATCAATTGGCGTCATATGAAGGAAAGATAAACTTTCATAACATTCTGCCTGGATAAGATCACCGCTCAAGCGCCATCCTCGTGGGCGTCGAGTGGTGGCTTCTTTAAAAGAACCGCTTGAGCGCCCAATGGGCGGGCATCAAGTGTTTTTGCGCCGACTTCTTCGTCTTGGTCTATCTTTTGACTTCTTTGACTCATTGTCGTTTTTTACTTCTACAAAACCTCTCTAAAACACACAACCAACTTTCAAATAAAATTTGGGTCACACCCAAATTACCCAAATTCTAACAAATCATAACTGGTCTTGTCTAAATCGTATTTGAAATATTTTAAAAATAAATCGTTTATACATTTTGATAAATTCTCAAACCTTAATTGAACCGCATTAGATTTAACCTTCAAATTCATCATTTTTTTCCCTTTCGCTTTAACATAAATATTTCATGGATTATCAAATCCCTTTCTCCTTTATTGATGAGGGAATTAAACAAAGTATATCTTGGATACACTACTTCACGAAAAACAAGTCTTCGTTATCAAAACTTTTATTGAATTTTCTAGTACACATTTTATCAACTTTTATCAAAGTTTGTTGAAACTTCTATAAAAAACTTTGTCACACAACGCCTTATTACTGAATGCAATCATGCACGTTAACAGTTGATCACGAGGGAGAAAAAAAGGATTTTTTAAATAAGTACACTTCTACATGATAGAATTAAATTATGAATTGATTTTATTTTTACACAATATAATGAGGCCTCATCATTGGCATTAGAAACAGCACCAGCCGATAGGAGCCTTTCCAGTTGATTTCATTTTTCTTGCTTTTTCTTTCACTATTGAATCTTCATATTTTCTTTTCTCCTCCAATTGTGCTTTTGCTCCAGTAGAAATATGATCAATCCTTGCTAGCTTGTTTTGGTAATGTTTCAAGTTTCTTGACTTTCTCAGTTCCAGTTCATCCTGCAAGCATTTTCAATGTATTTTTACGTAATAAGCAAATTTGTCCAACATTAATAGGTAGATGAAAAAAAAAGAGTGAAAATTAATTAACCTTGTTTCTTTCCATTTGTTGCTTTGCTCTCACTTTCTTCTCGTTCTCCCAAGCAAGAATGTTCGAATGCATCTTCTGGTATCTGAAACTTACAATTAATTTGTAAGAATAACGTCATGTTTCGTATACATTACTCAATAGTATTTCATAGTGCAATCAATGAGATTGTACCTTTTGTGAATCTTTTCCAATTGAGATCTTTCCCAAGCATCTGCTTTAGTCTCTACATTTCGACGCCCCCTTGAAGTTCCCCTTTGTCTTTGGTTCTCTACAATGGGAGGAGGAGGTCGCCTGAAGGATGTAGTTCCAGTATCTTGTCGAGAGGACCTCTGCATGGAACCTTTATGGTATATCGAAAATATCCTCAATATATAAGTGGAACCCTCTTTAACATATCGATATTATTGTCCAATCCAACGTAACAAACATGCCCATATCAGGAGAAAATGAGTCAAGGAGATGTACCTGGTTGAGGTGGCCTAAAGGGCTCTTCTTTTCTGTTACTTATATTTCTGAGGTACTGTTTGGTGCTGGCTTCTTCAAGGGAATGTATGGCATGAGCAGTAGCAGCAATTGCAGTTGCAAATTCGCCATCATCTAAGTAATAATGGTGGTTCATCGGCCTCATGATCAATAACCTCGTACCAACTCTTTTATTTATGATATCGGGAAAATATCACGAAGAATATTATGGTGTTGGAAGCCATGAAGAGAAGAAATTCTGGGCTTCTTATGAACAGTGAAAAAGGGGCTTTACAAATAAAAATTCTGTGTTAATTTGAATGAAAGAACTGTCGATTCCTTGCCAATACAAGACGTGTAACCAGAAGAAAGAATGAACTTTCCATGGATGCTTGTGACCACTGTACATTCTGATTCCTTGTTCTAATATTCCTAATTCCTTTGAGTGCATGCCAGGATATATGTCAAGAAGAACAATTTGCATATGTGCCCTGGTCACGGGACAGATTCAGGACTGAATTAAAAAAAATTTAAGTCGGATTTTTTTTCCATATATATCTTCTTTAATCTTTATAAATAAATAAAAATTTAATGGGCTAAGGTTAGGGACAAATCTAGGAAGTCGAGCGAGCTAGCGAGGTCGTTGACCGTTAACGATTGCAATAGAAAAATTATTTATTAATATTTAATTAAATAATATAAAAAAAATCTTCAATCAATATAAACGTAAAAGTTATATACATATGAATATATAATAATTACTAATTAGACTTCCTCTTTTACGGAATAAATAATAAGAGATATGGAATATAAATTCTTTTGCATCTCGATTCAAAATACATCCATTGTTAAAAATTTAACAATTCAACATAACAAGAAAAAAATACATTTTTTGAATCATATACGTACGATCAAGTTTCAAGTTTTTACGAACTTAAGCGAAACAAAATGAAATTTATATGTAAAATATGATTAAACGGTAAATACACGTTCCGAACTTAGGGGAAGCCTATGCAAAGTTTTTAAAACAATGATTT